CTACCATTAATACCGTCATTCAATTCAATTCAATTTTATTTATATAGCGCCACACATGGTGAAAAAAAAATCTTGGTGGGGTTGGTGTGCCAATAGATTTCCTTGCCTAACCCAGTACATATATTCAAGTTAAAAGTTGGAAAATTACTACAATTCCACAATAAGCATTTAATTACCTTATCAACATAAGCAGTTTACATATACAGTTAACCATTTGAAGCTATATTAGGTATTATTTTGGAAAGGAACAGTATGAAATACAACATTCAATTTCACTATTAGTCACCAAACACACAAAGTAGGCTCACAGGTGGTTAGCTTAACACGGTTAGCTTGACACAATTTTCCATATGAACTCGTGATATTTCGTGTTTCTTAATGGTTCAGAGAGGTCTTATAAGTCTGTCTGTCCAAACTGTGTCCACGTCAAATCACTCCGGTCGCTTTTAAGAAGGAATGTGGGAAAATCAAAAAGTGCATGGCCGTCCCACAGGCTATCAGCCAGGACTTACGCTGGAACCAGCTCCAAAAGGCCGGCTGTAGGACTTAGCTCCCAGCTCCTTTACATGGATTTTTTCCACCATTGTACTTCTCACGAAAGGGGAACTCAGTAAAGATCTCTCTGAATTATGTTAAAGCTGCTCTTCAACTGTTGTGATCGCAGTCATCTCTAAGTCACAGCCTGACTGACCACTAGCTATACGTCTATGGTAGCAGGGGCGCCAGTTCCAGATGACATTGGAATGTGGTGACAAAGTGTGTGCATGTTGACCTAACGACGTGTGTCTAATGCAACAGAGAGAGAAAAAGAGAGAAATTTAACACAAAAGTATGGTTCTAAAAGGAATAAGACAATCAGTAATTTACAAAGATTATGTTATAGCATACAAAGCTAAAGTGATTAATTATAGACAAATTCTAACAGCACAAACTAAGATAATGATTTGAAATAGAAGGTAGGGATCATCATATTTAGAGCCACATTAAGTATTTCTATCTTTAACACA